AGAGCGAGTTTATACAGTAATTTGCTTGTGATAATTGACTTCTAACGAATAAGAATTAGGGGTAATGACATATTCCAATTCCTCAAGAACTAAGTGATGTTACTCTTTGAAACCACGTCTTCAGTCCTCCACGTGTTTACGTTAACGCTCCCACCGCAATGCCCCAGAACAGTTCATTCCGAAATCAGTGTCTGCCGTCTAATCCGCCCAACAGCGGAGCGACACTTTTTACCGAAGCTTTCATGATTCATCAAGGCGTCAACATATAGAAAACATGCATTGTTTTGGGGGGAAGTTAAATTGAGGTTATGTAATGTACACAAAATAACACAGATTCATTCATTATGTACACATTCCACAGCGCAGCGTAGGAGAGCACCCACCGGCAGTAACTTAATTAACCACACCTCTGTGACAGCGGTCAGTTTCTGGGTCCATACGACAGCCTCCCTCGGTTTTGTTACTACGACAGACAAAGCGCGAAATTTGAATTTTCTTCAACTTCAATACTCAAGATACAAAATATGTTTCATGCATTTAAGGGCACTGAATATTTACAAAAACCAACGTCCACGTCTGTTTCTGTCGGGTAGCCAAATCCAATTTTAGAATGTAAGTTACGTTAATAAATGCACGAAAAAGTTTATACAAGAATTTAATTATGAAAGGAAAACGTTGTTATTAGGTTAGAATTCAAGTTGTAAGTGAGAAAACAAATTACTATTAAAAATAAAAATATATTTTTAACTGATAGGCAAGAATGAAAAGATGTAAATTTTCAGTTGTAAATGTAACCCCCTAAATGCTAAAGAGGTTCCTCTTTTTTTGAGATTGAAGACGAGGCAGATGAAACAGAGGATTACGTTCTTTTCAAATCGTCAGAACGGAAGTAAGTGTAGCTAATATTTCATGAAAGTCGTGGTCCATACGAGATCACACGCGCAATTTGAGTGCAGACTCTTATTGCAACATCCTAACATATCACAGAAAATTATCCATTAATGAATAGTTCATGAAGAAATTACGCAAACATTTTAAACTTCGACATGTACTTGTAATATTACGAATAATTTACGATTTTCGAAACGCGACGTATAGTGATCAGTTTAGATTTTAAGAAATATCCTGTCTGTTGTCAGTGGGTGGCTTCATATGCATTCTGAGGGTTCCAGCCACTTTGAGACTCAAGGTACAGGAGAAGATTTAACTAGTACGAGTTCCTACAAATTTCTCATTATCCACAAAGTTAATGAAGTCATTCTTTCAGACTAACACGAAATTCACAGCTCTGTTGCTTTGCTAATAGCAACGAGAACTCTGATTGCAACAGATCGTGGTTTCTGACCGACGAAATATCACGTGACTCGTCAGCTTAAATGGGAGTTGTCTCGCTTTGCCAGTCTACAGAAAACTATAAGATCACGGCTAAATTATCTTACAGAGTGAACAGAGATCTCGGTTTCATCGCTAAACTGAATATCTAAAAGTGTGAAAAATACTTATTATGACGGAAATGAATCTCCTAATTGTACAGTCTCACACACAGAAATTAATTCAAGGCTGACTGAAGAAGCTGCTACAGGCAGAACAATAGAGAGTGTGTGTGTGTGTGTGGAACATACATGAATATACGTCACAGATACATTTTCCTAATCATTCATCTAACAGCGCAGTATGTCCACATTTTTACTATAATTAATTTTTTTTTTTTTGAAAAAAATCATACTGAATTTATAAACTGCTTAATTGTGGGTGCATAGCATTTTTAGTACCAAGGCCACCAAGGGATTTAGCCAATATCTTACAGGTAACTTTAGTCTCGCTCCGGTCGTCTCGAATCTCGCAGCCGTACATAGATTCTTAGCAGCAGTACGAAATACTACAAAATAATATACGTTGAAATCCATTCTGTATTGACTTTGCCAACATTATCGTTGCATCTGGCAAAAATTGGACACGTCGAAACTTATCATGGCTTTGTCGTCGAGTTGCTGAAGTGGTTGCCGAGAGGTGGTTAGCAATTGCAGCTGCCGTTCTGAGGCCCCGCCGGTTGCTCGGTGAGTCGAGTTCCCTTGGACCCAGCGTTCATGAGGTTGGGGTCTGAGTCTAGACTCTCTGACATCTTGTCGCATATGATGTCGACCAGTCGCTCAAATACTGCCTGCAAGCAACATTACGTGCATTTTTATTGGCTCGCGTGTGCGACGATGAGATTTTCTTCAGTTGTAGAACAAAACAAGAAATGATTAGTTCACAAAATCGGTACAGTAAAACCCTTCAACTAAGACCGAAGACTGAATACGACCATCTTTTGGGTCGCAGCATCACGTGGTCTGGTAGAAGTTTGCCGATAATTTACAGATGGATGCTGCCTCCATCGTCAGGGTGACGACTAAGCCGTTCCTTACTACCTCTCCCAACTTTCTTGCTATATTTTTTGTTTCCTTTCCCTTATTCTCTTTTCCCTCTTTCTATCATTCGTACTTTTCTTCTGTGCGTGGCTTACGGATTACCCTTATGATGGAGGCAGCAGGCCGCCTTCAGACCTGCCTTTACGAGCGCCTGTGATCTCATCGGGCGGAGAATTACCTTAACGTTAATGTTCTCCTTGGCCGAAGTCTCGAAGAACTCGATTCCAAGCTGCTCTGCGAGTTGCTTTCCTCGTTCGTAGCTGATGACCCGTTCGTCCTCCATGTCGCATTTGTTCCCTACCAGGATCACTTGTGCGTTGTCCCACGAGTACGTTTTTATCTGGGTCACCCTGCAAAATGTTCAACAGTCCGAAGTGTACTAATTCGTTGCAATTTTAAACCTTTCTCGTATGCAGTCGTAAGTTTCTATTCGCAACTGAATCGAGCCACGGCGCGCTGACGTATAAGAAGTTTATAAAATTAAAGTTGTAAATCTTAAGGACCCACGTTCTATGTCGTGTACACATTTTTCAGGAAACTGTGATAACATTTTGAGTTTTGTGTAAGGAAGGGGTTTGTATTAATCTGATATGAATCGAAATCGAAATTAAAATCACCAGACGATGCTTAAGTACCAACTTCCAGAGTAATTTTGATGATGAAACACGTCAGATGAGCCACACTGAATGTTGAAAATTCTCTGCCATTTTCGTAAACATCGCAGTTGCCATCCTCAGGGTGAATATTTGATGACTGGGCTTTTTTTTTTTAAAAAAATATGTAGAGCGGACAACAGGTGGAGAGTTGCATTTGACGCTGCTGATTGGTGGCGGTCATCTTCAGTCGGATAACGGCCTCCTGAGAATGGCAACTGCAATGTTTGTTGAAACGTTACATAATTTTCAACATTCATTGCAGCTCACCCCCAAAAGCCGAGGTTGTACGTTGAAATGCAGCCGTGAAAGCTCGAGGTCCAGAAACGTCGTTTATTAATCGCTAAAATGAGAAATAAAACATTTATTTTCGCATGTCAGAGCTCACGTGTTTTCCAGCTGGTGATGCGTTGCTCCTGCACGGAGCTTTAAATCCTCTGTTCCGTTACAACGAGGTTCAAGGGACGTGTTCCGAGAGAGGTTTCCTTCAGCGTGTTTATTGCGTACTAGAACTTTGTGGGATCGGTGGAACACTGAACACTCCAAAGAGAGTACTGAATACGAGAAAGAATAAGGAACCTCCCAACTATAACCTCCTTCTGGGGTGCTTCGTGGCTTACGAATGGTTGGGCCGTCCATTAACTGCAGAGTTCTGTTCGAAGCTTCAAGGACTTTGCTGTGTTCAACAAAACAATTTACATTGGCACCCCGGTAGTAGGCTGTAGTGATGGTGCGGTACCTCTCTTGTCCAGCGGTGTCCTGGGGAGAGAGGACATTCAGTCTCTGACTCTGTAATTATTTAGTGAGTTTAAATCCATGTTGAACTTCCGACAGAGAGTACAGAAATTCTTCAGTTTGTTAAACATTTATTAGCTCAAACTCGTCAGAATACGTACTCGACGGCTCTGCACCTCATTTCGGTCTACAACTCACTCAGTGGTTCAGTCGATGGCGTGGAAATGGTTGGATTGGTCGTGGCCACCCCGTTCACCAGACTTCGTTTGTCATTTGATCATTTCACTCCCTGAACTTTAAGATTTCGGACCATGTCTGAACAACCTTTTCAGTGAAAATGAGTTAATCAAGAAGACCCGACCGCCAATTGGCTCCAGCTGATGGTCCGATGCCGTTAAGATACGCCGAGGTTCAAAAGCGAGAAGATGAATGAATCTCGGCGAGTGGCTTGTGTCTGTCTCTGAACTTATTAATAGCACTGGAAGTTCGTTCTTTTATCAATGGCCGGGGAAAACTTGAGTGTGGGTTGCAGCTGTTTCCATGGTTACATTTACGGCGTACCAAGTAGGCTTAACAACGAGAGTTGATCCCTGCTGTATTTCTGGAATTATCACAGGAATAGCTCCTGAAGATCGTTGGTTCTTGAGTTCGGGAAGAGATACATTATTTTCAGGAAACTTTTATTTTCTTTCCTCACGAAGGAGTTTTCTGGCTGGAAAGGGGAAATTGTCATTACCGCAATGCTGCATTTTTGTTACAGATTGTCGGATACGAACAATCTTTAATTCCAAGGCCTGGAGACTCTGCCTGCTTCTGAGTATGGACGGACATTTTGGAGTAGGGTTGAAATTTGGGGGCTAATTCTGAAGACTCCTGTGCAGTAAAACTGTGCGAATTACTACAGGGCGGGGCCCAGTGAATGTTTTGTCTTGAACACTACGTAGAATTGAGGTGATACGTACCCATATCTGCAGCTTGACTCTTTTGTCATGTCGGAAAACTGTCTTGACCTTGAAGTCGATGCCAACAGTGGAGACGAAAGCCGACGTGAAGGAGTCATCGGCGTACCGGAAGAGGAACGACGTCTTCCCCACGCTGCTGTTGCCAATTATCAACAACTTGAACATGTAGTCGAAGTTCTGGTCCGCGGCGTCCTTCTGCCATTTCTGATCTTGTCCCGCTGCCATCTGTTGGACAGTGGAAAAGAAACCACGACTGATAATTGCGGTTAGATGAGATTCCATGTTCTTAACGGTGGCGCTAAGATGTCGATATTGTTCCTCCATCTTCAATGCTAAATTTAGCCCTGAAGATGGAGGTAGTATATTCCTTCGAATCCTTTTATTTTCGTTCGTATGACCTTGTCACCGATAAGCAATCCGCTTGTCCCGAAATTTGCTATCTTTTGTCGGTTCTTCACCAAGAGGACGTAACGATTTCGGTACGAAACAAAAAATGTTTGAGAAGGAAGAAACTTCCGCTCGTAGAGTACGCCATCTTGACGCCCGCACACATTCTGCGCTCTGGCGTGAGCGTTGGCTTATCTGACGCTGGACAGCGACCGACCAAAGGCGGGCTCTTGTGAAAAGAGTTGCGATGTAGGATTTGAGTTTACCGACGTTTCGGAGATCTTTCTGCCTACATCATGAGGGCGATGAGGCTCATCTGAGCTAATATTTAATTAAGTTGTGTATAATTGTGTGTTTTTTTACGTATCAACGTTTTTGTGTAACCTTATACAAATAGGATTATTTTTTTATAGAATTATATGTTACGCGACTATTTACAAATGATTAAATGTGTAGTACTTTTACGTTCTGTTGGAATATGCATATAAAACCGCAATTTGACACTACTAGTACTGATTACAAGCGTTGGGTTCATCTATCGGTCTGCCTCTCTGATGCCATGTGTCTTGTTACATTTTTGTAATACTGATGTCTTCTGTTACCATTTGTTTCTTTGGGCACATGTGATTACCTGTAAAATTTCCTTTCTATTAGTTTGCCGGTGCTGTTGAATGGAAATGTAAGTTATTCCATTCGAAATACTTTATATGAATTAAGAGTTGGCACATTATATTACTTAAGCAACAGTAGTATTGCCCGAAGATGGCACAGTAATGTCGAAACATGTAGCTATTAATGCCAAAAGTAATTAATCTCTGAAAATAAGTTGTGTAGATGGTAATAATATGTGTTATTGTAAGAACAGTGCCCTTCGGCGCATGGTTTAATTAAGATACAACTTTCAACTTTCCTTTGTTTCCTTTACAGAGAGACGCAAGATTTAACTGCGTGTTAAATATCTCTGAGTTTCACGCCTTGGAAAAATCCGCTTCGCCTCGTGGACATGTCACAGAGCAGCAGTGATCAAAATAAAACTATTTAATAAGACCGCAAAAGCCTTTCTGGAATGAGCCTGCGTGTAGTTTGTATGTGACGAAGTGCGCGGAACGTAATGCGACTCCAATTTTATCTGCTGTAAGTTTACATCAACGCCCATGGGAAATGTGAAAACCCAAGAACTTCACTGGAGAAACACACGTACGCGTACTCCGAGGTGGTGGATGTGCTACTGTTTACGTACTCGACGTTCAGTCTAGTGCTGTCAGTGCGTCGAGGGTCAAATGTGAAGTCAGCGGGGCCGGCTGCTGGACAGTACAGCAGACGCCACACGCCGTACAGGAACGAAACTCCACCGGTGAGCGAAATATTCATTCAACCATTTGTTTAATTACGTGTAACCCAAAGCTCGTCTGAGTATTACGTATTTAAGAATCCAGTCCGTACCGCGAAGAAAACACTACACTTCACCATTACAAAGATCAACTCGTTTACCCTTCGAAGCCGAAGCTCGTCTGAATATTATTTAAGTATTCAGTCCGTACCGCGAAGAAAACACCGCACTTAACCATTACAAAGATCGACTCCTTAACGCTGTTTAAGGAAATAATCGCTGTTTATGATAAGAATTATAGGAAATATACACACAATTAACAGGTGGCACATATATTTACATAAATACCAGTAGGATTTAAAGGGTTGAGGCATATTTGTGTCTTAACGGCGATTGATGCAAAGACACACGGAGCTAAAAGCTAACAGCTGAGATGTTTCGCTTTAAAATTCTAAGGTAATATGCACTGCTGTGTTATACAAAGTTTGTGTTGGCGTAGTGTACGCGGGAAATTTAAAATGAACCGCGAGATGTTCAAAATACAAATTTGATTTAAAAGAAATGGTTTCACGATGACCCAGAACGACAGTATCTGACGAAAGATTAGGGCGGGCGTGGAGGAACGAACATCAGGTGTTCCGAGTGACACACCGGTTACGCTTGCTGTGAACTAGCAGCGTCATTTGACTGGAACGATTGAAGGTTGTGTATACGGTATTACTAACGACGTAGAATGGGACATTTGAGAATTAAATTGTTTATTTTTATAAGGAAAAAATATATGCAGTTTTAGATTTGAGGTGTCTGTTAATCTAAAGATCTGTCGATTCACTTAAGATCGAATCAAGAACCGAATCGCGGGAGATCGTTCGTGGGAAAACTTCAAATGCCAGGTTAGGTTAGGTTTGCTGTAGTCTGGAGCTCAAATTCTATGCTCAAGGTGCTGAGTCTGGTAGATGAGGCATAGCCCTGCTGATAGAGGCAGCAGGGACCTTAGAAACTACGAGACTACACGGCGCTACAACCCAGACAGATAAATTTTTCCTTTCACATATTTAATATTGCCCTGAATAAATTTAGAGTAACTTTATAAAAAATGGACGTCATTCAATCTTTCAAACATTTTGAATAAATGGTTCGTTAGTGGCCCGTAATCCACACCGTCCAGGAAGCAGAAGGGGAGTGCAGTGGATGAAACATTTGTTTAACGACGTCCTTTATAATTTCGATTAATCAGTTTAGTGACAGAAAGGATGAATAGAAAATAATGAATGGGCAAGTGTGTGGAAGGAAGCGGTCCTGGCCTAATTCAAGATATGATGTTCTTCGTTACGTAATTTTCTCAATCCTTCGGTTTTTCCCCGTTCTCACGAGCATATATTTTACTCAGCAGGTGTTTTTTTAAAATGCCCTCTGTCTTATATGCAGTGAGAGATATTTCCACAAATAGTTTAAATAAATATTAATATAAATTACAACATTTGACATCGTCTTGCGTGTCTCTCGACCATTTGCATGTATCTACGAGTCACATGCATAAATAAATAAATAAATTTATTTGTTTAATACACAATTATTGTACGTGAGTCCTCATTGTTATAGTTTTTGAAGTTGTATTTGGTTATGAATTACTTCAGGGAGTCTGTGAACCAATTTCACGTTACACTTAGTACGCACTTTATGGGACCCAATGAAATGTGCATTTAACAGAAATATTTTCAGTTCCTATAAAATACACTGACGAGAACGTAACCTAGACAGTAAAATGGTTTTAACAATAATGTATGTAATTTAGACGGCTAAGGGTGGCCCAGGCTTACCGAATCTCGTTCGAGGCCGGCGCAGATTTTCTGGAAAGACGAAGAATTTGGGGGCAGAGTGTAACTTTCAACGCGTTACATAATATCGTGTTACGAACCTTATCCTTCGGCGCAGAAAAGAAAATTATGTTGTGCGGATAGACGAACCAAGAATCGAACAAGTGATGCCCTGAGTCAGGTTACTTTGCCAACGCATCTAATTCTCCATTACACACATCCCACGAAACACAGATTCTCATTAACTGTTACAATATTCCTTCGAGCAACACCATGCAATATGGCTGTCTCTTGCGAACTGTCAGCAGAGCGCTCTAGTGGCGGTTCAATACACTCTGCTCACAGTGGAAAGCTTCGGGGTATTGATTTCTCATGACCAGTAGCCAAACTCGCCCTGATGTCGAGATTTTGAGTCTATTCACGCCCGCCTTACGAGAATGGACACTTTTAATTCCAGACATAATTACAGCAAAGCTCAAAATGTGTACACCACGAACTGGATCCTTGAGAGTGCTCAACTGTCCGAGAAATTCCAGGCCATTTACGAACCAGTAATGATTATCAGAATGCTCGCAAGACCCTATTATGAGCCATATGAATCCCTGAATTCCGTTTCCCCTGATATCCCGCTTAATATTATCATCATATCTACGCCTATGTCTTTGGAGAGGTCTGTATTCCTCACCTATTGAAACCAAAATGTTTGTGGGCATTTTTAATCTCCTTTGCGTGCTACATGACGGGTCTGGGAGGGTCTGAGTGTCAGGTCGTCGGCTTTTTTGTTTGTTCGGACAAATGATTTTCAAAATCTTTGTTGTCTCGACATTTTTCCGTATTTTTTTTTTGCCAAATAACAGCGTTCTCCTACGGCCTTCAAGCTATGGGACACCCTGTATATGGTTACCATTGACCTGTAAAGAGTTAATCAAGGTACAAAGTTAGTGTAGATCTGCGTTGCTCTGTAAGAAACCGCGTACTCGAACGTCTCGCGTTCTTATTACATGCGGATTGAGGTTATGGCCGTGTGTAGTTTCCAACTCGCTTATCGTGAGGCTTCGCGTAAGTTTGATAAGTCGGGGCGGAGAAAATTGTTGCGGTAGACCAGTGCAAACAACGGAATTGAGCATAAAAACTTATGCCTTTATCTTCAGTGTAACATATTCATTGACTGTTGCCTACAAGTTTAACCGAAGTACATAAAAACTGTTGCTGTTCCTTTCTGCTCAGACCCGATTGTCTGGAATCTGTATTATAAACAGATCAATAAGTCCAATGTATAAATAAATGTTTTGGTCTGTTGGTAACATTGCAGACGACCATCGTTTCCAGTTACATAACCTTAAACACATTTGCTTAAGAATTTAAAGTCGTGAAACAAAGAAGACAGAATTCTGCAATAAATGTTCATTATTCATTTGCTCTTCTTAACCCAATCGATCGCGCTGATAAATCATCTTAAAATACGTTGTTTTAATGCCTGGTTTTTGGAGATAATTTTTTTTTTTAAAATAATTATTTTTCAATTAACCTAACCTCAATACATAAGATCATACGTAAGACTGCACTAAATGCTGTAAAACGTATTTTAGTACAAATTTCCCGTCACTCTTGACGGGTAATTAATTATCCGGTATTGTATAATATTAAAATACATTTTAAGGTTTGATTGTCGTGGATCGCGCTGGATCCAGAAATGTTGTGTTTCCCTCTGCAACAGAGGGGGAACGGGAGTCAATTTGGAGCCGCTCTGTTTTAATTACAGACACCTGCCACAAGTGGGCAGAAAACAAACTAATGCTTAAACGCTTTCAAGGGCGTACACACGTCCCAGCCCCATTCTAGGAACCATATCGTTCGAGTATCGATATAATCTCCACAGTTTATTATTTCGATTTTATGAGAGTCGTTTGCGCTGTGATTATCAGGAAACAGCTACTCGAAATGAAAATGTCAGTTGACGGTAACAAATTATACGACAGAATAATTCTAAAAGGGCTTTTTAGAACATCGGCAACAGAAATTAACCCTTTGTGGTAATTAACTACACGTATAACCTGTTTTATCAGTCACTAACTGTGAACTTTGCATTTTTCGGACCTGTAAACATCGATTATCTCCTTAAACAGCGTTAACCAGTTGATCTTCGTAATGGTGAAGAGTTGTGTTTACTTCGCGGTACGGGCTGAATTCTTAAATATTACGTACGCAGTGCGTGTCTCATTATAAACAGCGATCATTTCCTTAAACAGCGTTAACCAATTGATTTTTGTAATGGTGAAGTATGGTGTTTTTTTCGCGGTACGGGCTGGATTTTTAAATACGTAATATTTAGACGAGCTTTGACTTCAAAGGGTTAACCAGTTGATCTTTGTAACGGTGAGGTGTAGTGTTTTCTTCGCGGTACGGACTGAATTCTTAAATACGTAATATTTAGACGAGCTTTGACTTCAAAGGGTTAACCAGTTGATCTTTGTAACGGTGAGGTGTAGTGTTTTCTTCGCGGTACGGACTGAATTCTTAAATACGTAATATTTAGACGAGCTTTGACTTCAAAGGGTTAACCAGTTGATCTTTGTAACGGTGAGGTGTAGTGTTTTCTTCGCGGTACGGACTGAATTCTTAAATACGTAATATTTAGACGAGCTTTGACTTCAAAGGGTTAACCAGTTGATCTTTGTAACGGTGAGGTGTAGTGTTTTCTTCGCGGTACGGACTGAATTCTTAAATACGTAATATTTAGACGAGCTTTGACTTCAAAGGGTTAACCAGTTGATCTTTGTAACGGTGAAGTGTAGTGTTTTCTTAGCGGTAAGGGCTGGATTTTTAAATACTATTTAATTATGGAATAACAAATATGCCATTTGTGTTTGATCTGTGACGTATATGAATGAACTAATACAGTAATGATTGTAAATTATAACAAATTAAATTAAGTGTATACATTTAATGGCGATAAATATTATAAAATATAGTATAGACCGGAATTGGAAAATTAAGATTGTATCAATGTTGTTTATACGTATCAGACAAACTGAATCACAAACCTGGTGATTGGAATCTGAAGTTAAGTGTCCTATTGGTAATTCCACAAGCGACAGCATGCGGGCAGCACTAGTTCGGAGCTGGAACACGTGGTGTTCATCTGAAACGTCGGTTGTTTTTTGTCATTCAGGGAACTTGACAGGCAAATCAGATAAGATGTGTTCAAGAAAGTTTTACCGTAAGCTGCTTTGACGTAGCCCGCCGGTTTGTGGCATGACGAAATCTAAAAGTAACGTCGATTTCATTCTCATTCTTGTCAGAATCGGTTTATGTTAAATTTATCAAGATTTTCTATCTGTCAGGGTTCAAATGATCTACAAAATTTGTACTAATATTGGCCCATAAATACAGAAAGTTTTCCACGGCAGAATGTGGATTGAGTTCTTCTGGGTTATGAAGCCGCGAGCTTCTTAGGAGGAATTTTAATTCATCAGCGACACTTAAAAGACGTCTTTGGCTTGTCCGTGTGTGTCACAGTCTTTTATTCACGAATATACGTGGAATCTTCTAAACCAATACAGAGCCTAGTGAGTACACACGATCGAGACTTTGCGTGTGACCTGTCATTTTATATGTGGATGACGGAGTGAATTTTACTGCGCAGAATAAACAACCTTTAACGAAGACCGGAGCACGGAACAAAGAAGAACACACGGATAATGTGAGGTTTTCATGACGATACGTGTTTAGATCGTGACGTACTGAACTTTTACAGCGTACACTGAACATGGAGGCAGTATCCTTCTCCGAAACGTCGGTAACCGCCTTCAACAACACAGACGTCAAATATCTAGACCATGCAGATATTTTTATCGGTAAATTCACTGAAAATTAATGATTTTGACATAATTCATTCATGGATGTAAGTACGTAGCATCTCGCTACATCGCTTTGTATTCGAGAGGTCCTGGGTTCGAATCTCGGCCAAGATATCAAGTAACTGAGTAAGAACTTGTAACTTCCAGTAGTTTTCCGGGAAGATTCTGGAACAGTACCATAAAACTGGTAGATAACGCTACCTATCAGACCTTTTCGTAATTAATCTTTTGCAATAATCAGTGCCGTGTAACAATGCAGTTGTGAAGCCTCGTTAAATCCAAGAGTCGGCCATTAATTAATGCACGCGGAAACACGAAACTGATTAATATTTCAGTGCGAGAATTATTCTTATCTGCGCTCACTGTTAGTCCAGATCCGTGTTTCAGGAAGTAAGTGAGAATTGCTGGTTAGACATTTCATAAACATTTCCGGTGGCGCTGTTGCCACGGCGAAAATTTAAGCCATTGCTAAAAGCTGCTTCGTACGTCGTCTTAAAGTAAGCCGAAGACTTGAGACTTCGAATGCTCAAAAACGTTTTGCGTTACAAGTCACTGGCGTGAAATTTGAGCCACGTCGAGCTTTGTCTGCGTCATCCTCGCTTTACCCTAAACGTCAAATTTAAGCAAATTTGTGATAATATATTTATGTGCCGGCTGTACAACTTGTGTGCTCAATTTGCCGACTTAACAATGAGAGCGGAGAAACATTCGTGCGCGCGCATCTTTATTCATGCGTGAATAATTATCACGTGTGCGTTTTAATTCCGCTTGAGTCCATGAAGTGGCGAGCATTCGCGTTTCGAAGTCAAAACGATCATCCTCAGAGATTTCTGTCTTCTGGTTTGCACCGTCGTGCAATCTGGTGGAAGTCCACCGACGTTTCGGAGGTCCTTGCTGCCTCCATCATCAGGGCGAGGCAGCAAGGACCTCTGAAACGTCGGGGTGCAAACCAGAAGACCGCACTCACCGCCTTGAGAACCTCAAATCCTACCAAATTATCCTGGCGTCCACCTTTGTGACATGCAGTTACAAGTATTTAACTCTGTTTTACTCAGTCACCAAGTATCATTTGCCATTGCAAGACAAATCTCTAGTTGGTCCACATTGAGGTTCTGATGTTGTGGATATCATCAGAACCTCAATGTGGACCAACTAGAGTCCTGTCAGTTCACGGCTTACAGAAACAAAAATGTGTTTTTGTTCAGAAGGCCTTGAGACCTAGAATCAACTGACGGCGTGTTCCACTGTGTTCATTGTTGATTCAGATGTTTCGGCCTTTGTTTGCTCGATGCCTAGAGCACGTGCAGACCTTTTACGAAGTGTTGTAGCATTTAAATTTATTCCTACCGTCCCACACTTCCGGATGGAGCTCGTAAAAACCGACTTTCCTGGTCCCACACGTTATTGTAGGAAAAGTCGCGAAATGCAATTTCGGAGCCACTGGGTTCATTGTTGTTTGATCGCAACAATGAAACTTTATCAAATCAAAGACGTCTTACTGGTTGGAATTGTAAATAGGTTACTTTAAAATTATTTTATATTTTGAAGAAAAGAAACTCATTGTTGCTGTTCAGATAAATTCGTTTGATAAGATCTCGAAGCGTAGCAAAAATATCGCATTTTTCTTACTTTGCGAGTAAAAGACAATATTTCGTACACGGTTTGTAGATCGGTTAAAAGTACGTCGTGAACGTGACGAAACGAAGACTCACCGTAATTCTTCTGCATCGTGAGGAAGTCGATTGTGCAGGCGTCGCACTAAAGTTTCGTTTGCACTGCTTATCGAGATGTCGAGGTGTGAGAGACGGATTACTTAAACTTTCGGGCGAGTTTTCGACCCGCGCACTGCGCGAAGACGGGGCTGACTGCACGCGTTGTTGCCATGGTTTGGAATACAATCAGCTGTCGCACCCTTGACGACGTGCAGGCCTTCCGCTTCCTGAGTCACGATTGCTGATAGCGAGCGAAGCCTTGCCACGCCACATGTGCGTTCAGGCACTTTCTCCTCGCCCCGGCATCGCCTTCTTCAGATTCTTCCAAAAATCCACGGATCTGAGGCCTTTGTGGAAAGCTGACGGGCGAAAGACCTCCCAGAACAAGTGGACTTTTCCGAATTGTCGACTAAGAGATGTTTATTCCCCCAATGCGTGCAGTGTTACCACCTTTGTTGGCTGTGTACTTACGTGATGATTGTTCTGTTTGTTACAAATACAAATAAATATAAAGTTTGGCGATTATTAGGTTCTTATGTCAATGAGCAGACGGCTTCTCCTTGTGGAAGGTTAAGTATGTATTTTTCACTATTCTGCCAGTGTTTAACCTAACTTTGTGTAGCGAAATTGAAGTGCATAACTCGGTAGCTAGACTAGAGAAATGAACTTCAGAAATCGTCGAGTCAACGAGTTTCTGTGTCAAGTTTCTCTAAGGTAACAGCTGAATCAACATTGACAGGTGTCCTGAACTACATCGCATTTCCAAACGAAACTTTATATATACGAGGTGCGATCGGAAAGTTTCAAGACTGCGCCTATATAAAAAAAAAACCCCGTACACTTATCTCAGGTATTAAATTCATCCATCACCCTCGAAGTAGTTCCCCTGGGAGTGAACACAACGATCCCAGCGCCGCTGCCAAGCCTGGAAGCATCCCTGGAAATCTTTCTTTGTCAGCCTGTCAAGCACCATCTGCGATTCTGCCTGAATCTCTTCTATCGTCTCAAATCTCCTTCCCTTTAGCTGAATTTTCATCTTTGGGAAGAGGAAGAAGTCACACGGAGCTAAATCCGGTGAATAAGGAGGGTGCGGGATGACGGCCATGGTGTTTGAGGCCAAAAACTGCCGAACTTTGAGGGCGGTGTGCGCTGGCGCGTTGTCTTGATGCGTCGCATGTGGAGTTCTTCCTTTAGAATCAGCTGACAGGTCCCATAGCCTATCCCAACAATGTCGCACAAGTCGTTGATGGTACGACGTCGATCTTCGTAACTTTTTCGGGCGTTGTGCTCGAAGATGGTCGTCCAGAACTCTCGTCATCATCGACAGAGGTTCGGCCGGCCCTTTTTAAAACGTGAATGCCACACAAAAGTTTGCGGACTCCCCAAATGCTTGCTTTAGCATTTCATAGGTTTCCTTAGCCGTTTTGGCGAGTCTTTGGCAAAATTTGATGCACACGCCATTCCGAAATCGCAGGAGGGTCGGTGTAATGCACTACCAAAACGCCCGTAACTAAGAAACAAATGCTAATTCGATGATGCCGGCTGGCACACTGATTCACTATGAATGTAGGCCGCACCCCCTAGCGGCAGAAGCTCGTACTACATCCGGTTCGCCCGCTATTGACACAGTCTTGAAACTTTCCGATCGCACCTCTTATATAAGTTGTTCTAAATAAATCGACAACGTGATCCCTTGAAGGTTGTTTTCCTGTGGGTTGTTACACCGTGTAGTGTGGTAGACGTTTACAGACGTTTCGGCGGTCGTGAAAGTTGACTTTCGTCCTGAAGAAGTAATCGGTTCCATCACAAGGTATTATAAAGCTACACAGTTGGGAGAATCGATATTATTCTCACCGTTTCTGTGCGTTCGCTCATTCGCAGAGTTCTATTTGTAACCTTCTTGGTACTTCCTGATTGCGCCGAACTTTTTCGCCTGAATGGTCGATACTACTTCAGTGTCACGTGATCGCCGCGGTGATAAATGCATCGCCAGTTCTGGAGGCGTCCTCATGTTACAATTTTTTTTTTTGACTCGGTAATGTCGTCTGTTCTGACTGCGATGTCGTAACGTGGAAGGTGTTTCAAAAGCACGTCATTAAATTTACGTGCCGCCATGAAACATGTGTTCGTGTGTACGGTGTACAATACACACGATTTTCAAGTTACGAAATAAAATGAAAGTGCTGATTTGTTACTCGTTGTGCATTTCTTCGTAAATGTCGTAAAATATCACCGCGATTAATGCCCTGAGACCATCAAGTACATGTTTCTGCAAAAACAGCACACGTCGATGTGTTTACATCTTTTTGGAACGTCCTGTATAAATGATTATGGCTGCTGTTTGAAACTGTCTTCTGTGATATTTGACGTTTCTAGGATGAAAACTTGGAACGCGGTCTTTTGTTGTAGTTTTGAAGGTGGTTATTAAACAATGCATGTAATATTAAGATTGCAAACTAATTGTTGATGAGTATAATTTAGCCCTGAATCTCAGTGAATACATAAAATATTCATTATAGCATGTTTAAGTAAGTAATGTCGACAAACACATAATCGATATCTCGATAATATCGTACAAACTAGAAGTTGTTACTTAAAGCCCGTCTGTTGTAAGTTGGTTTACTGTTCATTTGGCCATGAATTAGCCGACGGCGGGTCTCATTATTGTCAACAATGACTCGGTCAGGGTCTGAAAAACTCGTCACTACGTATTACCAGTTCTAGATCTGCTGTTTGCACAACAATGACTGCAATTTTATGTAAAGGCTATTTCTTCTTGTTATTATTATGACTCCGTTTTGCAGTTGGTCTATTATTGCGACTAGTTCGAAATTTTGCAGCTGATCTGGACGTCTGGTTGTCAGTAGGCTTACGCTAACGCTATGACAGGTCTCGTGTTCTATCGATTCGTCCGACTGTCGACCTGCATCAACAGACTTCCTGCTATAACACGTCGCTAAACCGAAGCCATCAGAACAGGTGTTCGGCTTGATACTGAGTTTATAAAGCACCAGCGTCGGAAATTTCCCAGTTTGAGAAGGAAAGTGCGAAGTAAACAACTTTGTCCTCCTGTGGTACTTGGTTTCTGAGCTACGGAAGTTGCCCTCGTGACACTTTTCCGGGTTTCCAACCTCATGTTTGCTGCAGATCGGTTTATCCCTTCTGGAGGTATCAGCGAACGTACACGCCGACAACTGCTTTCATCGCTTACAGGGAAACTGTGGTTTTGAGACTTCCGTTTCAGATTTAACATCGGTTTGAACTGCTTTAAACACATGCGACTGCAGGCAATACATTTGTCTAGGAAGAGGATGTTTTATCGCAGAAATAACATTCAGAGGGTCATATACTGTGCTAACCGAACAAATTACTCCTGAGTTACATTTTAATCTTATTCTCCCATCGAAGTCTTGGTCGGGCTGTGTGACACTTATGTCTGTATAAAATTTTCATACGAGAATGCACATCGTTTAAAACTCGCTGATGTCTGATCTCTGGACAGAAGTTGGGCGAATTGCGTACAAATCACAGACTTCCTTCAGCTGGAGTGTCGTCACTTATCTTAGAGATAATATTAGATGGGAAGTTTCTTTCACAAGTTCGTTATTCACAACAAATGGGCGTGGTTAGTTCCTGGAATGCGTTTCCAGCTTTGCGTTAAAATCTTCTAACACGATCGGCTTCGTGAATGCAGACGCTTCGAAAACCATTTGTGTTCCCATCATCGTGGTCACTCCCCACGTCGACCCTGATGGTGGAGACAACCAATTTCCGAATCTCTGATTTGCAACTCATCACTGGAGTGCGAGGTTGGGGAACGGAATTAAGCAGGGCTTCAGCTGCTGCTGAGGGCGGGTGTTGACGACGTGTGAGATGATCCGGAAAATAAGTTAAGAGGTTCCAACGAACGCGTGTTGCTTAAAACGAGATTTCAAATTTCATTTTCATATTTTAAGACGCAGTTTATAACAAAACATTGACCTCTCGCTTTTAAGGGATGGCCGTCTGGATTTCATAATGCAATGAAACGACTTTGAATACTAAAGTTACGAGTTAATTTGAGAATTTTAATTAATAGTTCGACAGATACAAAAATAGATCCACACTGAAATTATTTTTGGCAAATTTTTATTGGTTTATGTAAGACAAATTTAAATTAATTTTGGTGGCTTTAGCGCCGATGTCTTGCTTCTTTATAGCGTACATAATTATGAATTAATTATTGGATATTTAATCGAGTTCAAAAGTTTTAGGTCGTACACAACAACTGAACCACCATTTATAAATGATAATATAATAATATATTAGTAACGTTTCAGCCTTTAATTGGTTTAACAGAAGACACTGTTTTGTGGGTATAAAGTGATGGCAATTAGTTTAATGATATTGAAAGAACATTTAAAAATCCAAAACAAATCTTTTTATTTGGTGTAATTTCAAACACTGTTTTGGGATAATGAAGTAATTTTACTACTGTTATGAAACAAGAACTTTGAAGTACACAGGACAAGATGGAATACACCCATTTTGAGAACTTTTTAGATTTTAGTTTTGCATAAAGTGCGAAATTAATTATTTTAAACTGGTACAAGAATTCTCATAATTTTTAATATGAAATAATTTTTATATATGATCGTCCAAGTTGCTATAACCGTACATTTGACTTTTCCTAATTCGTATACATAAATATTCACTCTACTCTTTGTTGCAACGTCATCTGTCTTCAACGTAATTTCATGTATTTATTATAGATGAGCTACATAGAGTGACGATAATGTTAAATATTGTCATATTATATTACAACACATACACAATTCAGTTTACTCTTCAAGTAATTTGACATAATTAGTCTACACGAAGTAAGAGTCACATTTTCTAGTAAGCAATTCTTGTCGAATTATATGAACAAAAAATCCTAGTTAAATATAAACGAATTTTCATCATCGTTATATTTATTAATGTTATTATATCGTCATTATTTGGTTGTTTTGTCTGAAGTAGATTTCAGTTAAAGTAACTTAAAATACACCGCCAGAGCTGAGCTGTCTTTCAGTTCATGTGAACGGAATTAAAAGGACTGGAAAAATAAATAATATATTTGCCAGCTTATTTTCGATCCTAAAAATGTTTCACAAGCAATCTTCTGCATGTTCATATTAAAAATTATGCCACTACTGATAAGTAGTAATTATACCAGTTTCATTAATAAGTCGCTCGCTTTAAATAAAGTGATTGAAATATGTTCAATGGTGCGATTGTTTTCACTTTTCCGTCTTAATTTTGTTATGCTTAAGTAAATTTCGATAATTAAAGTGCTCGAATTTTTTTTACGAGATCATTGAAACATGTTTTCTGTAGTCGTATTTTCATCTATTTGATATACATGTGAAATAATATCTTCTGGAAAGAATCGCCTATATAAATGCAATTGATTTTGTAACCCGACACAATAAACCAATAAAATGATTACGGTACATCACGTACCAATTTTCTTAAAAAAAGATTAAATATTTCTGCTCTTCGATTTTCGTTAATGTTGAAACACTGACCAAAATTTTAACTGTTTTGAGATATTTTTAGGGCGCAGATTGTGGTCTGAAGTCATCGTGACGTCACCAATGTTCGAAGCGAGGAAAATTGATTTATCCGCATAAAATATCACGAGAATTTTAAACGACGAGGATGTGTCAGTGCCTCTCACATCAAAATATTGCACTTTTATGTCTTAGAGAGAGTTTTGAATTGCTACGTTGTTAAGAAAGAAGATGCGGTCGCTTCTGCGAACTTACCGTTTAGCTTCGGATGACTGCAACTTCAACCACCAAAGTATTAATTCACTGGGCACTGTTTGACACAAGAACTGACCGGATATTACAGGCTTTTAGAGTAACTTGACTGCGTTGTATCCTCAAAATCCCTTTTAATGTTGCAGAATTCACTGTTCGGTCCTTCAAAATTCACCCACCGCCAGCAACTTCAGGGGAATACGTAGTTTATCGGTCCTCCCCTCTAACAGTGCATCTACCCACATCTGTACTGGCAGAGAATCGATCAGCTGTTTGTACGCTCACCGCCATATTCGAACAAGAGCCTTGGCTCAACTGTAGTCGTCCAGAGATTGTGACGACGTAATCGAATGTGATATTCACTACCGCACGGGAAGGGGGGAGGAGTCACAAACTCTGATGCAGGAATAAATATAATTATGGACATCATTTACAAATAGGAGGTAGTCATAATAAAATGATTTCTAAAGTATCCTAAAATTCTCTTGGCCACCAAAAAGACATAATTAAGATTTTCACATCCGAATTGTAAGTCGGTTTTGTAAACTGATCGTGATTCAGGTTGAGCGGACGCTTATTTTGTGTTCATGGAACAGCTCACATTTATTAAAGTTTGTGGATTGTTTTTCTTAGCCGCTGAAGTTGATAATTTTGAAGGCTGAAGCTCTCATTTTCACTGGAGTTTTCTGCACTGAGGTTACATGAGTTTTTCACACTCTGAAAAACTTCGTATGTTTTTTTTAACAAATTTCGGGCATCATTAAATTGGAAAACAAAGTTAGGAAATTCACGCATACAGAAAAGTGACGCCTTCGCCAGGATTTGACCTTTGACAGCTGTGAAGGCCGGGCAACACTTGTTTTTTTTGTTCCAGACAGACGGACGGATATAAAATGCATTTATAATAGGCACTCGCAGTAAATGAACGAAGTCCATGGGTCAAATTGCTTCTTACGACGCTGAGCGTCGTTTAACTAGTATATACCATTCTCGTCTTCTATAAATCCAAGGTTTCATATCGTATTTACAAGAATCCGCCATTGCTTCCTATTCTGAGCCAGATTAATCCAGTCAACATCCTCCCACCTTGCTTTGCTAATTATAAGTCAGTTGACTGTTGGTATTTTGCCCTGCTGTAAAGAATGCCAAGAATTCATTACTCAGTCTGGTACAAATGTTTTTCGTGAAAAACGTTTTTAATGACTCGAAGTCTTTCAAGATGCCATCAACACCTGACCTCGTACATTACACGTGTTTATCGCGAACTGCACCATTAATTATGTGATAAAAATAATTTTTTAATTGTCTCAGGCTAATTTATTCCGTAACAGTTTTTTTAAATAGTCATCAAAATGGTTCATTTTTTGTTGGTATTTACACTAAAAAAATTGTGTCAATAGAATGATAAATCATTCAGAATGGCTTGTCCTTCTGGGATGCAACGCCGTTTAGACTTGAAGGAAGATACCAGCGTTTCGCAGAAACATATTGCCTCCATCTTCAGAGCTGATTTGGCGATGCTGAGAAGCGGTTACAAATATATGGGGTCAGAGTAGGATTTGGAGGGAGAATTATTTACGTTACACGTTATATTATTTTTTATTTAAAAATTACTTATTTCCGAAGGTCAAATATGTGTTTGGCTTTAAATGGACCACGCACACATAATTAACTATTGCGTGTTCGCTTTGTAAATGAGTCCTATTTCTCTGACTGCACTGGGGGAAAACTAGTCTCTGAAATAGTAACATTGGAATTGAATCAGTGTCATGTAATTGGTCCCATGGTCGTTCTCACAGAAGCATTTTGGTAAATTAGGTCCATTATAATGTATTCGGAAAGTACCAGCAACCTACGCGCAGAAAGTAGGAATCGTCTGCTCATGCGCACAGGAAATGTGTTAACGTCATTGTTACGTAGCCCAAGATCGACCTATATCGACCAACGCGGGACTGAAAACACTTGCACTGCCATCTATCCACAAGGAACGCATGCTAAAGCCTGTAACATGACATGTCTCGCGCTATCTGTTGGGAGCGGGTGTTCTCAGTGTTATCGATTTTTCTTACTCGTGCTCTGTCCTTGGTGCAATGGCACGAGGACATGTTTAAATCTCGTAGTTTGCTCGACATATTTTTGTTCCGTCTTCATAGGCACAAATTAAGTTTATTTTCGTACGACATAGACAGGTCTAAAACTCAGATGCTGGTATAATTTGTGTATATGAAACATACAGAATTTATATTTGATCGAAGGAGCTGTCGTGGTCGCAGACTGGTCCTGTATGTAGTTTCTGGTTCCCTGTATAGATGATGCACGTGCATTTTGTAAGACGTTCGTGCATTGTTGTAGATCTGCAAGGTTTATTTGGTCCTCGACAACAAAACGAATTAATTTTCGACTTAAGCCCTTCATGCCGAACATATTAATGTTTTACTTCATTTAAACATCAGACAAGAAGTACAATAATTTCAAATCTAACGAAAAAGTAATTCGTTCTTTCAATAAAAAAAGCGTCTGTGTTTAAAAGAGAGTTATTTTAAACAAGGGGGTCCTAGTGTGGTCTATACTTAACAGATGGCACAGCAGCAGCTTTTCTCATGATTCATATACGCAATAGCCAGGCTTTCATTTCGTCCTTGTTTGAGGAAGACGTCGGTGGTTTGTCTGTGATACGAGGCGCTATCAATGACCAGAAAGGAGATTGCAACGAAGCACAACCACTAGACAAGTTTCCACACTGACTGCACTGACCGACGGAAACTCCTTCCTTCCTTCCTTCATTAAATGGTCCGCAAACTGGACTCTCCCCACAAGGTCAGCGGCCATAATCGGTGGATCCAGTTCCAACTATAAGTAAGCGTGTCGAAACGTGACTTCGTGAACACGCGTGACTAAGCGTGACAAAGCGTGACGAGAAGTCACCATAAGTGTCAAATCATGACCAAGATTTTAAAAGCGTGACTAAGCATGACATACTGTAATGGCGTGACGAAGATTTTTAGAACCATACGTAATCTAACAAACTAACCTAACATAACCATTTCAGTATTGCGTATATTCGTAAGCAAATTTTCTCAAATAAATGTGGATAACTTGCAGTAATTTAAATTGTACCGAAACGTGTTAAGAACATTATTCCCGTTGAATTCATACCTAAAAGAATCTCCAATTGCGTTGAACCTTCTGTAAAATATTTGTCTCTACTCGACGTGTTTCGTCACAATTCTTTACCATCATCAGGGATTTCTTTCTTCGTGTTCTCCACTGCCTAAATATAAAACTGGTTACGGTCCTCTGATGATACCGACTGCCCTGAAGTTTCGTTGACGATATTGAATATCACCAGGGAGTTTCAGAATTGCAGTTTTTGAATAAACAATAATATTGATTCATTGCGATGGACAATCGTGAAGCAAAATGAGAACTCTCTTTCAAAAATCAGCAAATATTTAGTTTGTGTTTCATATAATTCTCACAGTAAACAGCGATTATTTCCTTAAACAGCGTTAACCAGTCGATCTTTGTAATGGTGAAGAGTTGTGTTTACTTCGCGGTACGGGCTGGATTCCTAAATATTATTTACGCGAGCTTCGTCTTCAAAGCGTTCAACTTCTGCAACTCTCAAGTGTTTAAAAACGTGGTTACGACTGTGTCGAAACGTTCTGAATACCCGGTGCCAACCCCATTCGACCTGAAGCAAACCGACGCCTCGTTCGGCTGACGTCGGCAGTGCACGCACCTCACCCCAGTTCATTCGGCTTACGTCCGTCGACTCGAGCGGAGGTGTCGGAGTCCGCGCTTTTGACAAGATCGTAAACATCGGAGCGGCCAACGAGAAGTGTTCGATTCGGTTTCGTAAATAAGAAACACAGGTTTTTCGGTGCAAGCTCTGCTTTCGTTTGTTTCGTTTTCTGAAACTTGTGCGCCGCGTGAAACCGGTATAAAGTCCACAGTCGTTTGTTATATTTGTGTCTAAGGAACTTTGTTTAATTTTTATTTTTACATTTCAGAATTAACGTCGCTCCACTTTCACGTTTATTAATTCCGTTGTGTTGACAAATGAATTCAAGTTAAAACGATTCAACGATTGTAGGCAAACAGCGTAGTGTTTTTGTTTCGGCTTTATTAACATTTTGTTTTTGTAGTGTGGGAATTTGAATTGTTCTATAAATTTGTATATTTTACTGCATATATAATAACATTCCCAGAAACATTTATTTATTTGTATATTCTCTCAAGAATTCTTTTTAATTAAAATGTACACGTCTTATTTTAGTATAATCGCATTAGTATGCTCAGGCTATTGAAAATTGGATTAGCGTCGTCTCTTGCACAGGATAAATCCTGAAAGGAATTTCAAAACCC